TTCATGCAAACTTTCTAAACTAGGCAGCTAAAATGTATTAGATATTCTAATTTTTTTTGCATCATACCAGTGGAGGTGTTTGATTAAGTAACATTAAGAGTGTGACAGAATAACGGAAAATATGTTCTCAATTTATCTTTTAATTTTTGAAGTTTATAATATGACCTTTACACCCAGCATCTATGTGGAGGTGTAGGTGCAAGAGCTCTTTGGCCAACAATTGATATTGTGGTTTGTGAGCAGGATGTAAGAGGGCTGTGCAGCACACATTGCTCATCGTTCTCACATGTGCAACATAATTATTTCTATGGCTCTGCTCATCACGTGCGTAATAACTGGAACAGAACCGCTCATCATACTCCAGCAAACCAGCTGTACGACACAGCATCTCTGTCAGTTTCTGTTTAACTCTGTGAACATCTCTTTGTACGAGTCAATACTCAAGCAAACTGAGGTTAAGATGAAATATGGGTCATAGAGGGATTAAGAGGGGTTTCGCTTGTAAACAGTGCAGTGGTGCAGAGCACATTTAAAAAACATTAGACATCACTTGGATAAACAAGACTTACATATCCCACATCAGGACGATAGCAAGTGTAAGCTCCCAGAATGCTGTGCAATACATCATGGTATGGGCCTCCCTGAAAATAAAACCCCAAAATATGATGACACAATTGTCAGCAGATGATATAAAACTCCAGAAACAACAATGCACCCTACCTGTTGGAAAATACAGAGATTGGGAAAGGTTCTGGAAATGTCTAACTTGATCAGTTCTAGACTGGCCTCTCGATCAGCATGAGACAAGCCTGCATCTGAAAAATAAGCAATAATTAGTTACAAAAGGGCATTAAAGCAAAGGCACTTAACAGCAAGGAAAGCTGCTGATAAAGGGGAGAAATAAAGGAAAATAAAAAGAGGATAATAAAATAAAAAAGTATAATAAATAATGTTTTATATGAGATTAAAGAAGTTATTCCAGCAAAAGAGAGGAGAAAAACCATGTACTTGGAAAAATGAAAATGAAAAATGCCTAACAATCACCTTCACTCTCCGTTTCTGCAGCAGCCGTTGGGGCTACAAAGGCATTCCACTTTTCTTTGGCTCTTGCCAAACAGATGTTATACAGCTCTGTTTAAAACACATACACACAAATAATAATGTGTTATTTACTTCACTTTATTTACTTTAATCTTAGTATATGAAACTATGATCCGCACTCACAAAAACAGAGGATACTGGGTTTAACACACTGAAGAAGGCCTTGAGCCAAAAGATTTGTGGGTTTTCCCTATTGGTGATAAATGTATAATAAAATGTAAAAAGAAGA